AAAATCATTTGTGTACAAGGGGTTAAAACAGTGACACATGGCTCGTTATAATTTATTCAGCCTGTTGGGCCCTTCAGTCACTTTCCTGACCATAAAATGTGGCCTGAGCAAGTTATTTGTTGCAGGATGAACTGAGGTGACTGTGAGAGCTATAAATTATTCTAACATGAGTAGGTGAGGAACACTTTGCAATAACGAAGTAGAATGGGAGTCAGTGTCATATTCTGTTACATTTAAAGAAATTGTACTATAAAAATGATTCAAATTTGTTTAAAAGAATATGATTTTAATATACATGAGCTAGTTTCTAAAGCATAATCTACATGAATCGTAGTGTTGCTAAGAGTAGCAAGTATAAGTCTGAAGGTTGAAGAATGATATTAACATCTTATTTAAAGTTTACCAAGCTTATATCCAAAATAGAAAAAAGCCAAGCCATTATTTTAATTTTACATAGCATTATATAATATTCCTAAAGGTGATTGTTTAATTTTTCTCTCTCCCTTGCAGTCATTAATAATGTAAATACATTTGCGTTTTCACAGTTGTGTTAGATGTCAGAAGTCTCACATTGCTGGGTTCATTTTTCTGTGGCTATTTCAGAAATAGAAACTGTTTACATAAATATTAGCATCACGAGTGGAATAAAAATACAAGGAGTTTTTGTCTCCTTTGTAGGTACCAACAGCATTGACCTCACACACAGTAGACATTTCAGAGGTTTTGGGTGTGGCTTTAATTTACGCATGCTTTCTGGGGTCTGTGGTGTGTAGCAAGGTCCATCGGCTTGGGGAGACAGAGATTATTTACTCTATGAGTTATTACGAGTCTTGCGCTGGTATAACAAAGTTGTTTGCCTAAGTGATTGGAAATAATTAACAGTGCTTGAATGACCTCCCGTTCTTGGGGATAGAGATCACATTGGTCAAGTAGGTGTTTTCAAAAGTTATTTAGGTAAGATTTTCTAACCAAACTTTTTTTGGTTATATGCTAACTTTAAAAATAAAATATAAAAAGAATCTATATAGGAGGTCTCTACTTCCAAATAATATTTATTATGAATAAATTTAGGATACTGCATTAAGATACTGAATTGTTTAGCAAGATAATTTTATTGCATCAAATTATTTGAATTGTTTACATGTCTAATTGGTAGTATATATTTGTTTTAAAAGTACATTTTATATTTTAAATTAAATAATTAGCATCTGTCCTTAACATATGAAGGCTGTTTTATGTATTGTGTCTGTCTTTTGTATTAAGAAAAGGCATAGTTATTGAGGAAATGCTGGACTTTGGGAAATTGTTTTCTTGGAAGCGAAATATTTTCAATACCACATTAGTTTTTCAGCTTAAGAATAAAGCTGGGAAAATTTGCCTTCAGCTATTAGTTTTCCTGAATCCAAAGAGACGGGTGGGGCAGGATCAAAAATACTTATTTGATCAAAGTTATTGGCTCTGAAGGTATTCTTACCTGTGTAAGAAAGATGAAAGGTGTTGTTTTTATTGCATGCTAGTAACAGTGTAATTTTGAACTAATTGGTGTTGAACTGCCAATCACCTGGGGGAATGCAAATAGATACTCTTACAATTTCCTTTGAGGTCGAGAAATCCTATGTCGGGGCTGGAAGAAAAACAGAATAATACCGTTAAATTGACCTTAAATGAGCTGCTTTGTGGTTTTGTTGGAGAATCCCTTTTTATTTTTTATAACTTGTCCAAACAGGTTTTGTCTACCAATTTGACTTATTGACTAGACAATGCTGACATTGAACATTTTAGATTTTTAAAAAGTAAAGTAATGATAACCCAGTTTTTGATGATATTTTCATTTTTTTTTAGTATAACTTTAGTATTTGTTTGGCGCATATCATAATTTCCCCAAATAGCTACTCTTTCTGTCTGGTTACTTGTATAAGGAAATATTCTGTTGCACAAAAGCTTACTTTTTCACTTAGGTATTTAATATCTTACCATGTTTGAGAGGATTGTACTATTCCTGCAGAATCTACTCATGTAATAAATGTATGGCTTATTTCAGGACAATAGGAGTGTGTTTTTTATTTCTGTATGCCAATCAGTATTTACTAATCACTCATTGTGTGGCTAGAGTTGGGTCACCTGAAATAAAAGCATTTCAGAAATGTCACTTCAGGATTTTCCTTTGAAAAATCATATGTTGAATGGTCTAGACATTTGTATTGAGCTTTGTAGACATACCCACAAAGTAAGCATTTATGTCTTTTCACTTAATTTCAAATTGGCAGCAGGCATATTGTCTGTTCTGATATCCATTCTCTTTCAAAATTCTGAATACTCATCGTATTATTTTTTCTAGCTTGGAGCTGGTTACTAGCATAATACTTCTTTACAAGTACAGAGAATGAAGTGTGTATGGAATTGTATTTTTAATTAATGGAATATAGACATTAAATGAGTGATAATTACAGACACTATAATTTATAAAGAATTAAGATAAAAAGTAAAATGTACTTATCACTAACGCTATTATATTGTTTAAACTTTGATTCAGAGATATTTGAAAATCTTACACTGCTATGCCATCTTATCTAAATCTCCTTGTTATATGAAAATGCCCATTAATTTTGTCACTCAATTGCTTTTCCTTTTGCTTTGGTTGCCAGAAATTTAAAACTAGATTTGTAGTCCAAGTTTAGTAGCTTGGGGTCACATTACCTGAATATCTCTGTACTATCTTTACTCCCACTCTCTTCAAAATATCAATGATATATTAACAAGTAAAATGATTAATGAGCTCTGAAAATACTATATAACATTTCTGTGCATTTCAGACCTCAAGTTCTCCAAAAGGGAGGATATTGGATTTCTCTTTCTTTTGCAGTGGGAGATGGGAAAAAAAATGCAAAAGGAACAAGCCTACTGCTAGAAACCTGGACTGAGCCTGGGGTTTTGTGATTCCCCAAGGGGGCTTAGAAAAGGAGCTTCTGAATTCCCTTCGTGAGACTGCATTTGTCTCCTTGCTGCAGGCTCTTTCTCGTCCTGCTGAACTTCTTGTATTGGGCTGAATTCTTTCAGTTTCTCCCTTGAGAAAGGACTACTGTTTACACCTACAGAGACCCAATCAGGCTTCTTTCTTCTTATAGTCAGTTCTTCCGAAGTGTTGGTCTGTAGTCCCCAGGAACCGAAATTTGAGCCGTCCAACTGATTTGTCACTGTATTAAGGACTGTCTGACCTAACCAGATGTGAACAGCAGCAGCAGCTAGAGAAGGATTTCCACTCATTTAAGGACACTACTCAAGTAGGGACCTCTTCTTCCCAGTTCCGAGGGCGAAAGGTGGCCCTGACTGTTCCTGCCTTCTGGCTTCCTCTGCTTTTCTTCCTGGAACCTCTCCTGTTGGTCTAATATTGCATGAATCCCTTTTCTGTTTTACCTCGAGAGTCAGTTTCATTTGCTTATAACTGGTGACTGTACCTGGTACAAGTGAAATCTCAGCTATAGGTTGTGTTGGATAAAAGATGAGGAGAGAAAGTGAAATGAAAGGAGCGTGTATGTAAACAAGCAAACAGGATAAGTGAAAATGAAAAGTAGAACTTAAAGTCTACAGAACAGAATGTAAGTTGTAAAACATTAGAGACAAGGTGGGTCATTATGATACGATAAAAGACTTGATTCATAGTAAGATATAAGAATCCTAGTGGTTTTTTAAAAACTTTTTTAATAACTAAGGAAATGTAATCAAAGCACAATTATAACAGGGGTTTCAATTTATCTGTTTCAGACTTTAATGGATAAAACTGAACAAGGAAGTACTATTACAAAACCATTAGAGAAACAAGCAAAAATATAAATATGAAGAATCTATGTGATAAACATGAAAGATAATTACATTTAGACAAATGCATATGAAAGTAACAATCAGGGGGCTGGAGATTTAGCTCAGCGGCACAGCGCCTCTCTGGCAAGTGTGAAGTCATGAGTTCAATTCCTGGTACAGGGAAAAAAAAACAAAAAAAAAACAAACAAAAAAAAAGAAAGTAACTATCAGAAAACATTTTTCACTCATTATGTTGGAAAAAATTTCGAAGTTACCATATCTGGTGCTAGGGAAAATACTGAAAAATACTAAAAGAAAATTTCAAAAGCTATGGATAGAGATTTAAATATTGTAGTAATTTAAATTATTACAGTAAATTGCAATATTTTGGGAATGTAACCTTTAAATATCTCTTGAAACTAAAAATGCTCACACCCTTTCACTCACCTGAATTTTGGAACTAATGGATATAAATACAAGAAAGTTTATTGCATCATTGTTTGTTTTTTTTTTTTTTTTTTGGGTTTTTCTCCGGTACCGGGAACCGAACTCACGACCTTGCGCTTGCCAGGCAGGCGCTTTTGCCGCTGAGCTAAATCCCCAGCCCCTGCATCATTGTTTGAAGTGACAGAAAATTGAGGAAAACCTGAATAATCACAAGAGGAGTGCTTCGGAGCGAAACTATACATCAGTAGCATGGAAAGTTGTTCAGCTGTTGTGGAGTTGGGCCTGGCAGTGTGAAGGCATCACTGGCATGGAGAGCAAGTGGCCAATTAGCATGTCTGATTGGGTCCCATCTATAAATGCATAGTGGAAGTGTAGGCGTCACAGGAATTAAATTTGCACATGAGGAAGGATGTGAGTGTATCAGCCACACTGGTAACAGTTGTCCCTTTAGGGAGATGGGGAGAAGAGGACCTGGATTCCCCTTCACTGTCTGTAGGAAGTGTGTAATGCTTTTGTAGTAGATCAAGTAAAGGTTTTACCAACTTAAAAAATCTTCTTGAAAATGCAGCTTTTAATCCATAGGAACATGTTGTTTTAAATAAAGATGTGGATGTAGTTTTCTATGAATCACAGCAGCATATTTTTTATTCTCAATAATCTGAATTTGTAAAAGTTACTTATTTTTAGTTAAAGGACTACCTGTTAAGTAGGGTTAGGGATTCTGTTTTAATTCTAAATATTTTTGCATTGAATAGGGATGTCTTCATCGGTAGAATGCAACATAATGGAGTTGGAGCAAGAACTTGAAAATGTAAAGACTCTTAAGACAAAACTAGGTACTGTACTTTTTTTCTTGATGTGTATATTTGTTATTAAAGACCTTATGATAGTCTGAAATATTAAAAAGTTTATGAAACTTAAGTTTATGTTCATTGATCAAGACTATTTTTGTTTGGGGAGAGAGTAAGGTTATTCACATTTTAAATTTTGTATTTATACAGAATGATGTTTCAAAGGTGGTATATTCAGAGATGTTCTCCTATTTTTTACTTGCTTTATTTCTGATAAATAATCTCTCATCTTTTAATGTGTCTTGTTTCTATCTTCTTTTAAAGTGTCCTCTTTTCCATTGGTTTTTTTTCTTACCATTGGTTTTGGGTGACTTGATTATGATATGCATTGGAATGCTTCTTGTTCTTTGGCTTCATTAAGTCTCTTGGATCTGGAAATTTGTAGTTCTCATCTAATTTGGACAATATTTGGCCATTAAATTTGCAGCTATTTTTTCTTTTTCCATTATGCTACCCTTTTTTAGGGACTTCAGTTACATGTGGCTTGAGTCCATCTTTCGAGGATGGTGGGATGATTATTTTAAAGTCCTTCTCTTTCATTTTGGATAGTATCATTGTGTTATCATTTGCACGGCTCTTTCATTCCATCTAGTGTATTTTCTTTTCAGATACTGTAGTTTTCATCTCTTAGAAGTATTATTTGAGCTGAATACCTTCCTGCCTCTAATTAGCATATTCAATCTGTGGCCTCCACCTTTATGATAATGCTTGAATGTTTTAGTCTTGTAATTCTAGTAACTGTGTTAGTTCTTGGTAAGTTTTGATTGATTATCTTCCTTATTGTTGGTTGTATTTTGTGCTGCTTTGCCTGCTGGGCAGTTGTAACATTGCAAGTTTTTTCCTTGTTAGATGCTGATGTTTTATATTTCTGTAAGTGAGACACATTGTTTTGGAGTGCAGTTCACTTCCTTGGAAAGAATACAGTGTTGTTGGCTTGGACTTGAAGACTGTTTAGGTTAAGCGGGGCAGCCCTGCACCTAGGGGGAATTGCCCCCATTTCCCCACCGCCGAGGCAAGCACTGTTCTTGGCCCTTTGTGATTGTCAGGTGCTGTTCCCTCCTATTTTTGTGTGTTCTTTCTTCAGGCATGGCTTGTTTCCTCACATGGCTGAGCTGGTCATTACTGTGAATGCCCCAGGGTGACTTTTGCCAATCCTGATAATTCTCTGAGCCACAGTCCTCTTTCTGTACTTTGCTCTGCAAACTGTGGCTGATTTAGACTCTTCAGACTCCCGTTTCATGGGCTGGACTCAGGAGGAGTCTGGCCTCTCTTTGGGTTCCTCCTGATTGAGTGCAGGACATTGCTAACTTGAAATTGTAGCAACAAGAGGGTATATTCTTTTTGTTAGTGATGTTCCTTTAGCTTTTGCTAGCGGGTAGAATGGGGACATAGCAGCTCAGTCCGTTTGGGCTTTTGGTCTTTACACAGGCTGGTTCATTTCCAGTTTGGCATTAATCTTACTGTACAGTTTTTCCTTGGTCCTAAATGTAAGCCTGGCTGTTTTGAGCAGGCTTTCATTTTTACTGCCCAAGAAACTGGAGCCTGAGAGAGCTTTTCAGAGGTTCCCAGCATCTCTGTTGTGTTTCTGCTCTTCCCAGCCACAGTTGCGGAGGCCTCATGGGGAAGGGAGTCTGTGTGTCTGACTCACCGCTTTGCTCTTTCCTTCTCTCTATGATTATTGCATCCCCCATTCTGGCTGCCTTGCAGCCTCAAACTCCAGAGTTTGTCTCTCTGGCCCTGTTGCGTTTGCTGAGAGCTTTTCTTTAGTGTCCTTGCCTTTGACCCACCAGTTTCTGCTTGATCTGTCAGCCTCTGGGATCCTTGCTAGCTACATACTAGAACATACCTTGCAGGGAAAAGTGTCACACTGGGGGACTCAACTCTACCATTTTGTAGAAAGCAGCCCCTCAATTTTCTTGGTGTTGGTAGCTCTCTGGTATCTTGATACAGTCTTTTAAAGCTTGAATCATCCACTGTTCTCAGCATGTGGCTGGCTATGGCTATGGTATGGGGAAATCTGTTGTAGCTACAAGTGGAGGTTTGCTTTCAGCCTTTAGGTCCTTGGGACATGAGATTAGAGATCTTATTTATGTTACTTTATTCATTCAAATATGTATCTATATCTATATATACCTCATCAAATAGTTACTTCTCTATTTTCAAAGAAAGCCACATATCAATAATAGATTTCCTTAGAAACAGAATTGTCTTTCCTGAGGTGAAATTTAAGCTTCACAGGATTGTACTGTTAATGTAGCAAACTGATTTTCAGTTTGTGGAGAAAAATAGATAGTTTATTTTTCCAAAAATTTGCATAATGTTTGTAGCATAATGGGATGAAACTATGAATCTAGAGAGGACTTTTGGAAATTACTGAAATTTTTGTTTTATTTTGTTTTTCCTTCTATTAGAAAGGCGAAAAAAGGCTTCAGCATGGGAAAGAAATTTGGTGTATCCTGCTGTTATGGTTCTACTTCTTATCGAGACAGTAAGAATTTATTTGCCTACTTAAATAAACCATATTATATTTTTATCTGCTTTAGCATTTGGGTGAACCAGCTCTCTCAGCTAAATGGCTTCTAGTAAACTAGTTTTCTTTCGACAGGATTAAAATCCATCAACACTTTTATTTGTAAAAAGTTAACAGAAAAAGAAATGGAAGTGAATGGCACTTAGAAAATGTCCTCAAGATGATCTGTTTTCGCATGAAAGCAGAAAATTCAGGCTTTTATTCTGTTGAAAATTAGGGAAGATAGGGTATTGCAGAGACTGTGCTTCAGAGTCTTCAGAAGGCTATGAAAATTGTATTAGGAAATTAGTGCTGGTAATATTTTACTATGTTTGAAGTCTGTGGAGTTGTGGGCTCCAGTTGGTGAGACTACTTAGTAAATGGATCTATTTTACTGTCTCTTGTCACAAGCTTTGAAATGATAATAATGTACAGAATCTCTTGGAATTTATTCTGGAGTTTTTATATACAGTCTACTTACGTAGCTTTGTGTGTAGAGTTTTGATCTTGACTGTTTTTCTTTTATTCTGAAACACATGCATTATAATATCTGTATATTGTCAGAGGAGTCTCTGGAGGGGAGGGCTGACTGCTTCCTTTTTTGTGTTGTAGTCCATCTCGGTCCTTCTGGTGGTGTGTAATATTCTTTGCCTATTGGTTGATGAAACAGCAATGCCAAAGGGAACAAGGGTAAAGTAAATGCTTTCAGATGTTTTGCGTTTGCAAGTTTCTATGTATATATACCCGTGTGCTTCAAGTAAGTAAGTGAAAACACTACCTTTTACTTGTATATACTTCCAGTTGTATGAATATCTTAAGAGAGCTTTCATAAATAATGTTCGTAAACTGTAACTTCTGTTTTCTTTTTTTTACTTTGGATGACTAGGGCCTTTTTTTTTTTTTCAAGTATATGAGTTTTTTCCTGATTTCATGTCAGAGTTGATCTTGGTTTTACTGACATTTGTATTTGTGATTCTCTAAGACAGTGCATGCATTAAAATAGGGATGTGGCACTGGGGATATAGCTCAGTGGCACAAGCGCTTCCCTGGTAAAGTGCAAGGTCCTGAGTTCGATTCCCAGTACCAAAAGGTAAAAAATAAGGATGTATAAAAAGTATATTTCATGGACTTGGAATTTACAAATATATAGCTGTAGGGGTTTATGCTTCAAAAGTGTCACGCATTTGATGAATCTATACCAAATATACAGTTACTAGAGGAGGGTCAGATGTACTTTTCATGAATTAAAATTTTTTATCATTTAAAAATTAATGATTTTCCTAAATTCTATGAATTAGCCTATTTGAATATATTTTCTATACAGAAGGTAGTTACCACTAAACATTCATATCTGACACACTTTTTCTGGGTTTCTCTATGAAATTTTGGATACTTAAAATGGCACTTACATTTTGACACTTTATTATATTTTTCCTAAGTCAGCAGCTTTTACATTCTGCATAGCAATGACTTTAAAACTGTCCAGACTTACGATTCACTTGTCTTTCTCTGAACCAGATGATAGTCTTTTTCTTTCATAGAAAAATGTCAGTGTCTGTTTTTATTCCTTCCCTCCAGCCTGAGATGAAGATATTTGTTCTTCCAAAAACTAACTCCTTTAACCATTTTCTGGATTCGCCCAGCCACCATCCTGGCTGGAATTTGAGCCACCTACTATCGTCCTTTCTCTCATTTAGCTGTGTGAGCCGTCTGCCCCTAGCTTCCCACACACTTCACTCTGCAAACAAATAAATGACACTTGTCTTGCACCTAGTCTTATGTCTGTCTTTTCTTTGTACCTGAATCCTCAGGTAGAACAGGAAGTCGCTCCTGCATAGACTTCCTGTTGGTTCTTTAACACATTGTAGTGTATAGCAAAACAGGTGAGTTCCTTGTGGTTCAGGTCTGTACCACCCCCTTAGTGCATAGCAGAGTGCCTTGTACTTTGAGGGGCTGCATGTGTGATTACATACATAGATGAACTTAATCCTGCTTTAGCCTTTTGCTTTATTAAAAATATATTTTTATCATTGCCTATTAATTTTATAAAATACTAGATTTCAATGTGGTATTTTTGTATAGGCATATGAAATATTTTGATCATAACCCCCAAATTACTGTCCCTTTTGTCCTTCCTCTTCTTTTTATTCCTTTCCTCTTGTCTAATAATAGTTTCCTTTCTATGTTTATGCCATCTATTTTTTTGATTATGATTTCGAGTTTCACTTACTTTTCTGCAAATGACATGATTTTGTTCTGCAGGGTTCCACTGTGTATATATATACACCACTCTATCTATTTGTTGCTGGGCATCTAGGCTGATTCCATATCTTGCTATTGTGAATTGTGCTGCCATAAACATGGGTATGCAGATGTCCCTGCAGTATGTTGACTTTAATTTCATTTTCAAATTATGTTGACATAATTTCTGTATACCAAGGAATGGTATAGCTAGATCGAATGGTAGCTGTGTGTTTCATTTTTGATGAACCCTCATACTTATTTCCATAGTGGCTCTGCTAATTTATATTCCTACCAGCAGTGTTGAAGAGTTCCTTTCCTACTTCCTCCTTACCAGTGTATTCTTGATGATAGTTATTCTGTCTGGGGTGAATTAGAACCTCAATATAGGTTTCTTCTTTTTCTTATTCTTTTTTTTTTTTTTTGAAATGGGGTCTCACTGTGCAGTCCAAGGTGACCTTGAACTTGTTACGTAGCTGCGGCTTACTCATCCTCCTGCCTCAGCTTTCCGAGTGCTGGGATTATCGGCATGCACCACCATGTCCAGTTTCAATGTAGTTTTGATTTGCATCTCCCTAATGGCTGGAGATGTTTGAGTTGATTTTTGTACAGGGTGAAAGATAGGAGTCTATTGTCAGTCTTCTATATATGGATATCCAGTTTGCTCAGTACCATTTGTTAAATAGACTATCTTTTCTGCAGTGCATGCTTTTGGCTCCTTTGTCAAGATAGCTTTGATTGTATAGGTTGGTTTCTATTCTATTCCATTGATCTACATGCCCCCTTTTGTATAATACCATACTGTTTTTGTTACTATAGCTTTGTAGTAGTATTTGAAATCAGGTGTTGTGATGCCTTGGGTCTTGTTCTTGTTGCTTAGGATTGCTTTGGCTAGTCTTGGTCTTTTATATTTCCATATGAGCTTTAGGATAATTGTTTCTAATTTTGTGAAGAATGTCACTGGAATGTTGATGAAAATTTTACTGAATCTTTAGGTAATATGGCCAATTTAACAATATTAATTCTGCTGATGCATGAACATGGAGATCTTTCCATCTTCTAATATCTTCTTCACTTTCTTTCTTCATTGTCATGTGATTTTTATTGTAGATAGTTTTTACCTCCTTGGTTAGACTGATTCCTAGGTGTTTTTTTTTTGAAGCTATTGTGAATTGAATAGTTTTTTTGATTTCTTTCTGGAAAGTTCATTTTTAGTATATAGAAAAGCTGTTAATTGCTTTTTAATGTTGATTTTGTGTGCTGCTACTATGCTGAATTTATCAGCTTCAGAAATGCTGCAAATGGACATCTATGGCTTATTCCTGATTTTAGAGGAAATGCTTTTAGCTTTTCCCCATTTAGGATTATATTGGCTGTGAATTTGTCATATAGAGGTTTTATTATATTGAGGTATGATGCTTTTATTAAGGGATATTGAAGTTTGTTGAAGGCTTTTTCTTTATCCGTTGAGATGATCATGTGATTATTTTTATTCTTGATTCTACTCATGTGGTGTATTAATTTTATTGATTTGCATATGTTGAACCATCCTTGCATCTTTAGAATGAAACAAACTTGGTCATGATGTATTGTTGAACTTGGTTTGCAAGTATTTTATTAAGCATTTTTGCATCTGTGTTCATCAAGGATGTTGATCTATAGTTTTTGATTTTAGTTGATACTAGTTGATATTCAGGTCTAAAATGTCCTCCAGAAGTCTTATGTGTTCAGAGGTGGGACTTTTGGAAGGAGACTGGATCATGGGGGGTGCTGTACTCATCAGCAGATTGGTTAATCCATTGATGAGTTCATGGCTGAGGTGGGGCTTGGTTAAAAGAGGTGGATCACTGAGGATATAATGTGAAAAGGTTTATTTTTATCTGTGGCTCTTCCCTTCTGTCTGCATCTTGGTTGCTGTTGGTTGAGCAGCTTTCATCTCTCATGTCCTTCCTTTATACCATTTCTGCCTTGGAGCAAGCTGACCATGGGCTGAACCTTCTGAAGCTGTGAGCCAAAATAACCCTCTTCTCCTCTAAGTTGTGAGTGTCAAGGTATTTTTGCCCAAGGGAATGGAAAGTGACTAAAACAGTAGTGTCTTTGTCCCGTTTTTGTACGAAGGTGATCTTACAGAATGAGTTTGGAAGCATTCCTTTCCTTTATATTTCATGGACTAGTTTGAGGAGCATTGGTATTCTTTAAACATCTGGTAAAACTTAGTAGTGAATCCATCTGGTCCTGGGATTTTCTTTTTTGGGATACTTTTTATTACTGCTTTGTCTTATTGTTTTATTTATATTATTTATTTATTATTTATTTAATTATTACTTTATTATTATTTATTATTAATAATTATATTATTTTATTGCTTTATCTTCAGGGGATACTTTTTATTACTGCTTTACCTTATTGATGTGTTTTTATCTTGTCTTGAAATGTATCCATTTTTTCTAGATTCTCCAATTAGAATATAGGTTTTCAAAATAGTACCCAATGATCCTTGGTATTTCAGTGACATTTCTTGTAGCATCCCTTTTTTCATCCCTAATGGTATTAGTTTAGGTCTTCTCTTTTGGTTAGTTTGGCTAAGTTTATCAGTCTTACTTATCTTTTAAAGAGCCAGCTCTTTGTTTCATTGATCTTTTTCTATTGTTTTTTTAGTCTATTTCATTAATTACAGCTCTGATCTTTATTATTTCTTTCTTTCTGTTTTGTTTGGTTTTGAATTGTTCGCATTTTTCTAAAACTTTGAGATATGTCATTACGTTATTTATTTGCAGACTCTATGATTTTTTGACATAGCCAGTCATAGTCCCTGTTAGAACTGCCTTTGCCATATATATCAGAGAGTCTGGTATATTGTTTTTCCATTTTCATTTAGGAATTTTAAATTTCCCCCTTGATTTCATCAGTGACCGATTGATTGTTCAGAAGTGAATTATTTGACCTCCCTGTGTTTGTATAATTTCTCCTTCTATTGATTTTTAGTTTCATTCTGTCATAGTCTGTTAGGATGCAAGAAATTATTTTATTTTATGGTATTTGTTAAGACTTGCTTTATGACCTAAAATACGATCTGTTTTGAAGAATGTTTCATGAGTTGCTGAAAAAAATGTGTATTTTGTTTCTTTGGGGATGGACTGTTATGTGGACATCTTTTAAGTACAGTTGATCTATAGTGTAGTTTAACTCTTAATGTGTCTTCGTTGATTGGAATGGAATATCAAAGTTACCCTCTGTTAGTATTTTGGGATATATGTGTCCCTTTATATTGAGAAATGTTTGTTTTATGAAGCTGGGTGCAGTGATATTTGGTGCATATATGGTTACAGCTGTATCTTCTTGATGGATTGTTCCATTTACTAATATGTAGTAGTCTTTGTCTCTTCTAATTTTGAAGTCTGCTTTGTCAGATATGAGTATATAATCCCACTTGCTTTTGGATTCCCCTTGTGGAGCATATTGTTTTCCATCCTTTCTGTCTGTATGTCTTTGTTAGTGAAGTGTGCTTCCTGCAGGCACCAAAGGGTTGGGTTTTGTCATTAAATCCAGTTTGTCAGTCTGTCACTTTTATTTAAAGAATTTAGACCATTTAGCTTGGTATCATAGCACATCTTATAATACCCGCATTTGGGAGACAGAGACCGGAGGATTGCTAGTTTGGTATCAGCCTGGGCTATAAAGCAAGATCCTGTCTTAAAAAAATTATTTATGTTCAAAATTATTATAGAAAGGAATTCATTCCTGTTTTTTTTGTGGTTGAATTTTTAAAAAATATTTGATTCTTTGCTAATTCTCAGTAGCTTATCTGTTCTTCATTCTTTTAGTGTAAGATGACTTTATCTTCTGCAGTGCTGGCTTAGTGGTCACGAATTTCTTTAGTTTATGTTTATCTTGAAAAGTCTTTATTTCTCCTTTGATTTTGAAAGATACCTTTGCTGAATATAGTCATCCATGTTGACAGTTATTATTTTTCAGAGCTTGAAATACATGCCCTCTTGGCCTTTAGTTTCTGCAGAGAAATCTGCAGTTGCCCAGATGGGTTTTCCTATATAAATGAGTTGCTGTTTTCTCTTGCAGCTTTCAATATTCTTTCTTCTTTAATTTTAAAGAGAAAAAACAATAAAAACAATGATACAGAATTTCAAAACAACATAGTAGGGATTTCAAGTAATAGTAATTTATTGTCGTTGTTTTGGTTTTTTTTTTGGTTTTTCTCCGGTACCGGGAACCGAACTCATGACCTTGCGCTTGCCAGGCAGGTGCTTTGCCGCTGAGCTAAATCCCCAGCCCGTAATTTATTGTCAGTAATAATTGTCAATAATAGCAATTTTAAAACAAGATAATAGGAAATTAATATATTGCATATTGTTTCTTCAAAGTAATGTTCTTTGAAGAGCCGTTTTCAAAGTAGTAGCTCAGCTTACAAGATAGAGGCATGCAAAACTGATCACAATATAAACACAAACCATTCTTTTCAATGAGTTAATAGAAATTAGTAGAAATTATCTTAGCAATCTTACATATACATGTATATATATTTTTTCTTTTCCCTTTCTTCTTTTTTCCTTTCCCCCATCCCAGTTGTTTTTTCCTTCTAAGCAGTTTCTTTTCTTTTCTTTTTTGTTTTTTGTTTTTTTTTTTTGTCTTTTTGAGACAAGGTCTTGCTATGCAGTTCAGGCTGGTCTTGGACTCATTTTGTAGCCCAGGTTGGTCTTGAACCCACAGTGATCCTCCTGCCTCGGCCTCCTGAGTGCTGGGATTACAGCACTGGCTTGAGCAGTTCCTTTCCCTTTCACAATATCTATTGTACATTTGGGATCTTATTTACCCTTTCAGTTTCTTACCCTAGGGATACAATGTGATGTTTATACATGCGAGTCTGATTTATTTCACTTATGAGTATGGTCTCTAGTTGCATCCATTTACCTCTAAAAGCCTCGTTTATCCTTTTTATGGCAGAGTAGTACTCCACTGTATAAAAAAGACTATCTTTTTGTCTGTTCTTTGGCTGATGGGCATTTGGGTTGTTTTCAAGACTTGAGCTTTCAGTATTCTTTCCTTGCTCTGTATTTTTGACATTTTAGCTCTAATATGACGTGGGGAGGTTCTTTTCCGGTCAGGCCTGTTTGGGGTTCTAAAAGTCTCCTCTAACTGGATGTCCATGCCTTTCCCAAGATTGGGGAAATTTTTGTTATTATTTCATTGACTAGATTCTCTGTTTCTTTGTTTGGACCATGGTAGTTCATTCTACACCAAAATTTGTATGTTTGGTTTTGAACCATGTACCAGAGTTCTTAGATGTTTTGTTCATAGTGTCTTTGTTTTCATTAACATCTGAGCATTGTTAACTGATTAACCTTATCCTCAAGTCCCAAAACTGTCTTTTATTTGATTCTTTTGGTGAGGCTTTGCACTGAGATTTTAATATGACTTCTTGTCATATCTTTGCCTTTTAAAGATTTCTTTAGTTCTTGATGATCTCTTCCTCTTTGTTGACCTGCTTCTTCATATACTGAATTGTCTTCCTCAATTCACTCAGCTGCTCATTTGTATCCTATCTGAAGTCACTGATCATATAAAAAAACTCAGTCTGGAATTTTTGTCCTGCCCTTTATCCATTTTGATGCCCTTACATTCAGTTACTGATGAGTTATGGGTCTTTGAAGGAGTCGTGTTGCTTTGTTTTGTCATATTCTTGTATTTCTGTGTTGAGATTTGTGCATCTGTTGTAACGGATCGTGGCTTTCTCTTTAAGAATATTCCATAATATTCTTCATTTGGCCAATAGGGCTTTGTAGGAGGGAAAAAATTCTTCTCAGGGGCTGGGGATTTAGCTCAGCGGCAAAAGCGCCTGCCTGGCAAGCGCAAAGTCGTGAGTTCGGTTCCCGGTACCGGAGAAAAACCAAAAAAAAAAAAAAAAAAAGAAAAAATTCTTCTCACTCAACATAAGGTTCATGGCTGAGGCTCCTGTATGAAAAGAGATTAACAGAGAAAAGTGGACAAATTTATTTTAAAAAGTTTCATATGACATAGGAGCCTTCAGAAATGAAGACTCAAAGAACCTAGAGAATCTGTGTGTCTATATAAGCAGTATGATTAGACGAAGAGGGTGTTACTGAGTGGTCATGCCACGCACAGCACACCTGCATACTCTGTTGTCAGAGACGAGACTGCTCTTTCTTCTGGGTTAGTGCAAGCATCCTCCAGTGATGGTCTCTTGCTTGCTTCAGAAGAGAAGCTCCAGAGGTCAGGCATGGCCTTCCTTATTTTCCTCAAACACAGAGTTGCCAGGTTTTGGGGTAGCATGTCCTTAACCCCACCATTTCCTCTTCACAAGATTGGCAAAACTGTTTATATGTGAAATTTCTATCACTGCTCTTACTTCTTTATACCAAAATTAGGATGTATATAATGTGTATGATATTATTGTTTGATTTTTTTTATTAGGCTGACTACACATTCTTACTTGTCTCTGGTGTTGTCATGTAAACTGGCTTCTGGACGAGTAATTCATATTCAGATAGCTTCTTTAATCTTTAATTAGTAAGCTTTGAAAATATTGTTTCTACTTTAGTAATATGTTCCCTTTCACATCTCGTTATGTAATGTTGTTTTTCTGTTTTGAGTCTTTCAAAGTTTTAGATAAAGACAAGTTTTGAGATAGACAATGTTTAGGAAAAAAATTACACATTATTTTGTAAAAATCAGTATTAACAGTCTTTTTTTTTTTTTTTGTAATTCTCTGAGTTCCAGTGGAAGATTTGGGGAAAGCAGAATGTGCATTTACTTTTTAAGCTTAGCTTAAATTTGACATCCTTTGTGTAATCTTTTTATGTTGCCTCGGCCTTTAGACAGACTTATCATCTATTCTTACCACACTATTATAAAAGGATAGCTGAGTGTGATGGTATACAAATGTGATCACAGCTGCTTGGGAGACTGAGGCAGGAGGGCCACAAGATCCTGTCTTAAAATCAAATTTTTAAAAATTCCCCCAGGAATATTCAATATTTTTTCTCAGTTAGCAAACAATTCCACTTTATAACACTAAACATAATGATATCATTTTGACAAGTAATTTGAATTATATTTGGGGTAAATCAGATTTTTTGAGCTTGTTTACTTGTTAACATGGTGGCTGATGAAATCACTTTAATGACATTTTATTGGCCTTTTAAAGAGTACATGTTATTTCAAGATATTAAACATAACTAATTTAAAATATTGTATGTCTGAAACAGTTTTAGGAAAATGGAATATAATGGTGTCATTGAATTCTGAAAAGTGTTTTTTCTCCCCCAGGGCCCTGGAATAGGACATGCTTCTCTCTCTACTTTTGGTTTTGTGGGAGCTGCACTTGAAATCATTTTGATTTTGTATCCTTTCTTTGACTGAATGTGTTGTCTGTTAACAAGTTTTCTGTCTAGTTTCTGGGACAGTGGTAATTTACTAAGACACTTGTCTAGAAGAAAAAACAAGTCAGTCTTCTTCAAGCACTCAAAGTGGCTTTTTGTTTTGTTTTGTTTTTCCTGTGGGCCCTGCGACTTTTGGGAAGCTGCTGAGAACCCATGGAAAGTTGCATTCTTTTGGAGAGTTTTTCCTTCATTCTCACAGCTATCTTATGGTGTCTTCCGTTGTTGGTTTCTATAGCCTCCGATTTTTTGGAAACTTTACACCCAAGAAGGATGACACAACCATGACAAAGGTAAGGTAAAGTCTTAGGTGACTATGGCCTGTCTTTGCTCTCCAAGACAAATGGCCTGTTTTACTCAGTAATCTCCCGGAATGGTCCATCTGTTGTGATAGGTATTTGTTTGTAAGTTGCATAAACACAAACTGGAAGATTTTCAAAACGCTGAGTGAGTGGGAAAATGATGTGCTCTGTTTAATTTGGATGGCGTCCATTCACTTGTAAATGCAGAGAGCTGCAGAGCTTGTTAACTAGCTACAGAGGGCTCCTGAAAGGACTCTTTTTTCCTCTCAAGAAAATGTATTGCTAATGAGTAACTTTGATTGTACTAACTGTACTTCAGGGGGCTTGTTTGAAATCTGAAGAACTTAGTTGCTACAAGTAGTAGAGACAAAGTATTTCAAATTTGAATAATTAAAGTAAGACAGAAGAGTTCTATTCAGAAACTGCGCTGTCTGAGGCTAATTTGACTTCCTACACTATGTTCATTGGCTTCAGAATAGAACTGGCTGTTATCTTATATAGTGACTGAATCTTTGTAAAGTATTCCCACAGGCTGACGAAGAATGACTAAGAGCCACTGTTTTTAAAAAAATTACACATTTCATATTTTTAGCCTAAAGGGGAGATGTTTTATATCTATTCATATAGGTATTTATATACACAAATCTGTAGTGCTATGACTTCTTTGAAGTCAGTACACAGTTGAGGTATTAGTATCTGGTTTAAGCAATTAGATGTATTAATATTTTCAGCTCCTATTTAATAAGAAAGAATAAGTGTAGGATGTATTGAAAAAGAATTACTAGAGTTTAGATGTTTAGATTTCCAGCATTTCTTAAATTAAACCTTATAATAGTTAAACATATTAGAAGTAGATGTTATGTGAGAGAACTTTACCAATAATTAGGCTTTAAAAATATAGTCACTATTAAATGTAATAATTCTTTTTTACTTGACAGGTAAAACTGTTTGAAATTGGCAGTCATATCAATAATGTAAAATGCATTCTCTGTGTAGATAAATTTAATATGTGTTTTATAACTTTGTATTTGTAGACTGTAAATATTTTCTAGAAATCAGATATAACTGTATTTGTAGGAAAAGTTCATTATTCTTTTAAAATTCCATATTGAACGTTAAGTACCAGTAAGAAGTTGGCAAGGTTGGGGAGGGAGCTGTGCTCCACAGCGACTTCCCAGATGCTGAGGGCTTGGTGACTGTCCCGTTCCACTGCTCAGTGCTCCCCCTGATTTCTCCCAACAGATCATTGGGAATTGTGTGTCCATCTTGGTCTTGAGCTCCGCTCTGCCTGTGATGTCCAGAACACTGGGTGAGTGCACTTGAGGAATGTTCACGTAAAATCTCATCTCCTAAAGATGTCTTTATCAGCCTCTCTAACTCCTGCTGCCTAAACTCCTTCAAAAAGATCAATTTGAAAATACAGTGTTTCTTCCCACATCATACTATATTTTCAGTCCTGTACTTCATTTATGTATAGGCCCACACTAACACAAGTACTTCTGTCAAATAAAGACCTTTTTTGTCAACACTTAACGCATTCCTTCTCCAAACAATAGACTGGGGTTTTTTGTTTGTTTGTTTCACCACATTCACAGGTTAAGCTTTTAAGTCTTCTCATGAGGAAACTAGGTTTATCAAAAAAGTTAGCCTGGAAAATAGTAAACTAATTATTATATAAACTGCCTTTTTAAAGATAAAATTTTGTGTGTTGTTTTAAAAACTGTAGATCTGTAAACTCAGAGGACACTTTTCTGTCCCTTAGTCTCCATAGCGTGGCACGCATACGGTTTCCATCACTGTCAGCACGCAAGGATGATTTTGGTCTTCTCAGAGTAAAACAGATTACCCCTTTGTCACAGGGATAGTTGGGAAAGTCTTCATTTGGCCTTTTTGTCTTTATAAAGTGCTGCTCTAGGCCCTTTGTTGAGCTCTTGGCTAAATATTTCAGACAAAAATTTCTGTTCAGCCTAATTCACCAGACTTAGGCTTTAGCTTCAGAAATTAATAATTAGAGAAATGATCAGAAAGAGTGCTTCTGTAAAACTGAGCACCCTTTTCTGAGCAGCAGGTGCAGGGCCGTGGGGTTGCTCCCGCTTTCGCTCTCCTGGTATCTCTGCTGGTGATTCAGGGCTCAGAGCCATCAGGTTGCAGGCTGTGCGTGAAGTGGGAGCTTTGCAGTGATCTGGTTTGTACAAAGAATTTCGTGTTTCAATAGAAAGTGGAATTAAAGTTAAGTGTAAAAGGAGCTCTTATGCTACAAGCTGACCCAAACCCCACGTATTTAGTGGTTTCCTTTCATGTTTGCTCTTTGGGATTGTTATTGTTTCGGTACCTGTTATAGTGTGCTAATCTTGAAAATGCCAAAGATGTGCACACCAGTAATCTAATTGGAAGCTAAACACTGTCATATGTGTTACGACAGTCCATCACATAGTTTGTGCTGAAACAGCTTCTCTACCATTTTAACATTTAGGAAACCTACTTATCATGCTCTGTTATTTAAGATTAATTGTAGATTGTTAATATGTACTGATTTTATGGCAGAAAATTATATGCTGAACATAGTTTTAATACAAAAAGACAAATTAATGGTAAAATTTACTTTTTGAAGGCTGACAAATTCCTAAGCAGTTTACCATAGAGATAAATAAAAAGAAAAGAGAAAGAAAGATGGAACAATTAAAATGCAGCTAACAAATGCCTGGACCCAGCTGTCCAAACAGGATTAATGGAGTGCATTAGGGTACAGTGAGTCATGTGGTGCTTTGCAAAATATCAACACGCACTGCAGTACATGTTATGCCCAGTGGCACTGAATAGATGAAAAGAAATAAATACGTTAAACAGATTCATAGAGGCTTTTCAGAGTATTAAAAAAGCAAATTTCTAGTCTAAAGATAAAGCTTTATTTTAGTATTATGGGAAATGCAAACTAGAGAGTTACTTTGTAATTCCTCTATTAACCCTTTAGAATTGAGTCTTTGATTTTAAGAAGGTAAAATATAGAGAATTGTTGTGAATATTATCTTAGTGTATAGCAGGATTTTGATTTACTAGCTGAAAAGCTTGTAAGACTGGAATAGAGAATGTGTTTAACAACCAGATTCCAAGCTGTGAAAATTTCACTCTCTTTTCTGCGCCTCTCACAGGGAAATCTGACCTTAGCGTGGTCTCATTTGCTCCTGTGAGATCAGCCAGCCGCAGCTCATCACTTAGGCAGAGTGAGGCAGCGACAGGAAAAATCGTACTTTAACTGCATATGCAGACTTTGTCTTACTTTAACAGTGCTTTAGTGAAGACTAATTTTGACTGTATACATTAAAAATACTTTCAATATAATTAATTTGGTGATTTTTTGCTTCAAAAATAAAAGCGTTTTGTGGGTTTTTTCTTCTAAACAGTTTGGCAGCTGCTGTTTGTGATGCATCACAAGCATTATGAACGCTAGCTTTGGTTTGTGTGCGTGGTGTTTGTAGTACATCATGAAAGAATTCCTTTTAGATAGCTCGTTACTTTTGAGTGTGGAAAATTTTATGCTAATTGAAAAATAACCAGTAAATACATTGTATATCATATTTCTTACCACAGATAATAAAGTTGTGAATATTTTGACCAAGTATTTTAGTCAGATAACATGAATATGCATCCAGTGTTATTGCTCATAGGAAGCACAGAGACTCAATTCTTAAAAATTTTTTTTATCAGAAATCTTTGAAACCCTTTAAAAGTAGGGCTGTGCCGTCCTTTAGAACCCTGTTTTGTTTCAGATTTAGACTTTATTTTAAAGAGTCCACATTTTAGGGGATTTGGTGTTCATATTTTTAGTAAATAGTTGACTGTTTTAGTTTACTAGACTCTTGAGGTGATTAGCAGAGATGCCTGCAAAGGAGGTGAAAAGAGAACAGGAGTGATCTGTGCATGTCCAGATGGGGATACAAATGGATGCCCACTTTGTGGATACAAAATGTTTTAAATACTGCAACGAATGTTAGGGCTTTTACATGACTGCTAACATTGCTCTTCATTGTCCTTAATCAAGAAAATAATGAGACATTGCCTTTTTCTGTTACTCTTTATTTGAAATCTTTAACCAAATGAGATTTTTTTCAAATGTAAACAATAGTCTTTGAAATTCTTGTGCTAATTTCTATTTTAAAGTTATTTTTGTATTTATTTTTTATGGATGTTCTTTCTGTAACTTGAGTAAGTTATATAAGGTCCAATTTAGATTTTTTAAAAAGTGTGTTTATAATATTAAAAATACCCTTTTAAATTAACTGGACTTTATTTTTAGTATTTCAATGCATTTTTCATTTTGGTCCCATGCAGGCTGTCATCTTGCATGAGATAAGATGGATTATTCTCTTTTGTTCCATGATTAAGGGATCTTGCTAAAATGGTTTTTTTCCCCCTTTTTTTTGAGAGGCCTTTATTTGGGGTTTTGTAAATATACCACTAATCTCTACCCAGGGCTTTCCCTTTCCATTTCTAGTTGTAGAACAAAAATAAATGATTCTTTCACAGATAATTAGCAATGTCACATGTGCAATAGAAATATAAACCATGTTTTCAATTGTGAAATTGATGTAAAAGTAATTTCAAAACTCATATTCAAAATTTCTCAGCAAAAAGTTATATATGACTATATTCAGATGTACTACAGAAAATAATTAATTGACTTTTGATCAAGTAATCTACTTATATCTGAACAATAAATTTGTATATCTAATGAGGATTTTTAAAAGTGAAGAATTCTTAAAAGTGTTCTGTGCCTCCAAAAGTTAGGGAACCACTAATAAATAACTAGAAACCCCTTCCCAGTGTCTACTTATCTTGTGTTTTTGATGCTGTACCTGTTTCAGGGAGATGTAAGCCTGCTGAGAAAATGTCATGTTGGTCACATGGATCTAAATTTAGCCACCTCTTGCTATACAAAAACCTTAAATTTAGTTTGTTGTCAAATAACTTTCATATGAAAAGAATTCCAGTCAGACTGTTTAACCAGAAGGAACCATAGAGGCCATTTTGTTGGTTTGTTTTTTTGACAAAGAGTCTTGCTGTGCAGGTAAGGCTGGCTTGAACTTAATATGTAGCCGAGGCTGACCTTAAACTTGAAGGGATCCTCCTGCCTCAGCCTGCTGAGTGCTGGGATTGCAGGTATGTGACACCATGTGTGGCTTGTAAGAGGCCATTTTGTAAATGGTACAGTTAAAATGTTAAAATTACAACTAAACAATTATAGAAAGGGCCTAATTCATCCTGAGAATAAAGGCTTGAGTATTCTTAATAGTGTATGTGCTCAAGTGAGATAGGTTAACAGATTGTCTCAATTATAGGAAACTTGATTTTTAATTATGTAAGTAAATGCATGAAGATACAGTTCTTACAAAAGATACTAAAAATTAAAGATAGGCTAAAATTTCTTATGACCACAGCTTTTAAAATCCCTGTCTCCTCTTCACTTTCCACAGCCCACTTTGATTGTACCTTTTCAAATCTTGTCTTTGTGTGTATGTGTGTGTGTGTGTGTGTGTGTGTGTGTGTGTGTGTGTGTGTGTGTCTGTCTGTCTGTCTGTCTGTAGTGGGGAGATTGTAAACTCTACAGGAGATTGTAGCTCCCACCTGGATGTGATTTTGTTCCTGTTTTTCTTGCTGGCATTCTTACTCTTTCTGATGACTTCACTTTTTGTGCTCTCCAGTGGAGTTAGAAAAACTCCATCAGAGCTCAGCATTCTGAAGATGAATTTCAAATCAACACACTTAACTGTCTCTTTACGTGTAGGTTACTGGTGACTTTCTGATTGCCCAGTTTTGAGGGTTCTGTTTTTATTTTGATTGTTCCGTGACTTTGCTGTTTTTAATCTGGCCCTGGATCAGATTCTTTCTTTCTTCATCTCTGGTCACCACTTCCTCTTTCTTGCCACTCCACTGCCTCTTACACTGCTTTGTGACTACCCCATCGCTTGTTCCACATCCAACCCTGCGAACTCCTACTCCCACCCCAAGCGAAGCAGGCGAGCCTCACTATGTGCTGCACGTGGCTTCCACTGCCACCCCACACTGGTACTTAAAAAAGCAGAATCACTGTCTCTTTAGTCTTTGGGACACTTCTATCCAGGAGGCCAAACCAGAAGCTTGAGAGCTATGGCCCGTGCCTCTGTCAGCTTGCAGCAGATACCAAGTAGCAGTGTTCAGTTGCATCCTGTCAGGAGTTCTTACATCTACCCTTTCTTCCCCATTTTCCTTCTAAAAAAATGAAAAAGTCATTAAGAGCTGCGTACATTGTTTTCTTTTTAATATTTCATTGTG